CACGTTTAAGATCTGTTCTGAGTAGATGCTCATGCTCAGGTTGAAAAGTTATGGTTTTTATCAGTATATGAGTAAAGGGTGATGCTTACTGTATCTGGGACTAGTTTACCTAGAAAAAGAAATGCCCCACGACTAGAGCATGGCTGTATTTTATTTGAGCTATCCATGTAGAAATGGGAGCAGAAAAGGGCAGTGTTTTCTGCTCCCTCCTAGACTCCAGATAAAATGGTTTCATACATAATGGCAAATCTAGGATTTTTTACTTGATAAAGATAGTGACATTTTGCCAGCAACTTTGGTTTTTGTATCTGTGTTGGTTTTGTAGTGGTATTAATTACTAGTAGGTATTTGTGGAATGAATGACTGCAGTTGGGACACACAACTTTCAATTTTTCTAGGAGAAATTTTCCTTGGCTTCCTCACTTGCTGTGGTCTGACAGTATTCCTACTCACAACTAGAGCAGCACTTAGCCACTGCTTGCTGTATCTTGTCTCTCTGCCTGGTACCAGGACTGCAAAGGCAGCCTTTGTTCTTCTCACCTATGCTTAGGAGCATTGCACAGGAGAGCAGCCTGAAAAGCGGGCTGCCCTCCTCATTTCTTTCTGTTGTCATCTGCTTGGTGTGTGCCTATCTGATCTGTGAATAAACTGTTTCCTGTATGAAAGAAGCTTGGAAAATACTGTTCCTCCTTCCTTCCTTTGCCTCCCTTACTGTAGATTTCAGCAACTCGCAGTCGGCCCCGCAGACGTGTCCCAGCAGATGCCAGAGCTCCTCATGCAGGACTGTAAATCACACACAGATTCCCCTCAGCAGATCAGTGCTCAGGTTAGCTGAGTGAGTTTGCAGAGTTATGGCTATGAAAGGTTTCAGAGTATTATCTTTTTTGTGCAAAGAGCATACAAAAGTTCTTTGGGGATTTTCACTTATGAGGCTGGCAGCTAAAGGCAAATTGCAGAATATGATTATGAGAGCAAAGCTAGGAGTTTCTGCTCTCTGAAAAAATTCTACGTGGGCATGAATTTTGTGTAGAGGTTAAACTCACAAGAAGTAAGTTTTAGAAATACATTTATAGCTGTCTTATCCGTAGATATTTTCTCATTCCTTGGTAATCGATTGGTGCATTTGCTTCTGTACCAACTAAACCACACCAACAGAACAAAACCTCAATTGTGGTGAGTTCTTGGGACGCAGATGGAGGTACACATCTGTGCTGGCTGTGATGACTCCTGCCCCCAGGTAAGAGGAAAGTTCGCTAGTGGTGCACAGACCCAGTGCTGTTGTGCCATTGCTTTGCCTGTGGAGCAGAGGGAATGAGTGGCTTTGCTAAGACATGGCTCTGTCGTCCCTCAGTGCTCATGGCAGCTGCTTTTGTGGCTTCCTCACCGTGACAGTTTTGCTGGGGCTGCATAGGATGCAAGATTGAACATGTGAGGGTGTGTCACCTTAGCTGATGGCAGCCAGGTCTCCTTCCATCTGCTACATTAATGAGCTCTGTGTTCTTACGCATCTGTGCACAACTGCAAACAAAATACATGTGTTCTCTTTTCTCCTTTGAATTTGACCATCCAATATCTTTATGTAATAAGGTGCTGTGAACACCTTTTTTTTTTAATGACATTTTATATTCAGGAATGCTTGTGATTTATAGAATGTGGTGCATGAAGTCCTTTAAGGGATTTCCTAGCATTCAGTCATGAATGACTGCAGCAAGTAAAAATGGTCACACATAAAGGAGAGGAGTTCCTCATCTTAAAAATATTAAGCATTGGAATAACTTTGTACCCATTGCTCATGAAGGATACCCCTCTTATGGTTTCTAAAGTTCAAAATTGAGTCTAAGTTAAAAGAAATGTTTTCTTCTATGGATAAAACTTAAATTTTGGAGGATAGTGTCTAGAGATCAAGAAGTACAGGAGGATGCCCCATGTAGAGCCATTAGGGAGCTGAAATCTTTCCACGTGCTGCTGTACTTTCTGTTTCCAGCAGGAAAGCATTGGGTTGGATCTGAAAGTTGTTGCAGGGAGAAATGGTGTGTGTGTCCTGGACTTGGCCATGATAATCTGGGAGGAAAATGCCTGATTAGCAGGGAAGAAGAAACGTTTCCTCTTGTAAACAAACTTGCACAGAAATTACAAGTTCTGGTATTTTGCTTCTGGTAGAGTAAGTCCAGGCAGGGCAGATTAGCAGAAGAAATGTCTGATGGCACTGAAAGAAGCATGATTAATGATTTTGTTTGGTTTGGTTCATTTCCTCATGTGTTGTGTATATTCTGTTTTTAAAGCCTGAAGTATGTGTGTTCTCTGTTTGGAGTGGATGCTTTCTATTATTTACAGTAGTATGTAATTATACACAGACTGACAAATGCAGCAGTGTAGTAGAGTCTATTTTTAGGCTCAGGCATTTGTGATTCTGATCTAATGTGCCAACCCTTAGCCAAACTACGAGCAGGAAAATCTTGCAGGAAACAATGCTACCTACCTCCTGCTCAGCCTGGTACCAAGGAAGGATCAGCTGTACCAGGACAACGTGTTCTGCTGGCTTTTTCCCTCCTGTCCACTTAATTTCCTCTGTTCTAGACAGACAGGATGAGTTAGTGAGGTGGAGTGCACAGTTGCTGGACTGGAACAGATTGTTTATTTTCCATTGTTTGTAATCATGCATGACTTATTATGCTTGTTTTTTTCCAGTTTTTTGTGTTATTTTTTTTAACTGGGATTTTCCATTTATACTACCCCAAGGATCAGCATTGCTCACAGTTGCAGTCACTGCCCTCTGAGCTGCATTCCTGCTCAGCACAGGAGAACCCTGGGGACCAGGCTGGTCCCTTTCCCCACAGTGAGGATCCGCTGACCATCTCTACCACCCCTCACCCTGTCTGAATCTTTGGTTCATCTCCATCATCAGCAGTGATGAGCTCATGTTTGCTGTGGTGTTTCACCTCCCTTGCCTGTGCCCTGCTCGCAGCAGCCCATTGTGCACCCTGCCCCATGTTTCCATATGTTACATGTGTCTCTCGGAGTCTCCAGACAAAGATGTGTTTTTTTCCCTCAGGCAGGCTGCTGACTGTATCCTTCTGTTTGTAAGACTTTTTTTTTCCCCCCCTCTGGTTAGAGGTCAGTCTGAAGTGCAGGAAAGAATGATTATGATAACAGGAGGAAACAGGAAGAATCATGCTTTCTTTTTCAATCTGTTTTTTATTATTGTTTTAATGTAAAACATTGTTTCAATTAAATGCTGACCTGTGCAATGGCGTGTGCATGCATGTGTTGAAATGAATTCAGGCTTTGTCTGGAGAGCTGTGACTTTGCTATTCCTGTTCTGGATCAAGCTGTGGCATCTCAGACCCACTGCCAGTGACCGCAGTTTCATTCTTATGTTTCAGCAGCACAGATAGGCACCATCATGAAGAGCGCCCTTCTCTTTGGGCCTTTCTATGTGGTGTTCTCTCTCCACTTTGAAGTAAAGTCATTTATTTTAGGAATTCCTTACATAATGGAAAAAAAGATAGCCATGACGAGATTAAAATTTGTGCTAAACAAGCATAACTGATGGAACAGTTATGTACAAAAAGGAAACGCGGAGCTGCTTTCTCCAAGCCTTAATTTCCTAATATTTTATTTATTCTTTCATGTTAGGGTGAGTATGCCACAGGAATTGACTTCACCCAAAAGAATATGTAGGACTTGACCCCCAGTGCCTGCTTTCACCTCTGAGCATTTACCACAGTGCCTCTAGAATAACTCACCCGATTTGTTATTTGCTTGAATGCAAATTTTAATTCTGCAGGGGTGCCTCCTCACTCAAGTTTTTCATTTGCTTGAGATGAACTGTTCTGGAGGAAGGAAGAAAGGGGGAAGAAGAACCATGAAAACTGTCTGGCTTATTAAAATGAATCAGTTGTATTTTATATGTGTCCTCTGGTGACCAGATTTTCATTTTCTCCTCAGCCTTGTGGAATGTTTTTATTTATATATCTTATTAGTTCTGGATGTTCTGCACAAGGGGAAACCTGAATTACAAACTTTTTTTTCATTATTGTATTAAGAGCTGGGGTATTAAATGCAGGTGCTGTGGCTCTGTCATAATTGGCAGTTAATGGAGAGACACCAGCTGTACTGGTGCACAGGGGAGGTATTATATCTCTTCACACGCTGTATATATTGTAGGAAATGCAGAATTCCTGTCATTGTCAGAAACTGTGTGTCCCCATCTACCATTCCTCCGTAGAATAAAGACAATAATCTGCTGAAAGTTAACACCGCATCTATTTTCAGAAACAGCTTATCCCATTTATTGTGCTTTCATGTAGCGTTAATTGATGTTTTGTTTGGTTAAATATAGAAAAGATTTAACAAATGTTTGCCTTTTTATGGTCATGCAAGACTAACTGGTGCTGCAGTGGCTGCCTCGTATTTTCTTGCAGCACATGGCAGGTTATCCTACATATCTGTGTGTATGTGGAGTGCGTACATGGCTGTATGTCTACACTCAGGATTATACTTGTTATGCTTTGACAGATCACACACTGAACTGTTTTGATTCGTAGAGCAGGGTTACAAAGGAAAAGAGAATCCTAATCAACAGAGAAATGGACAGTTTTACAGCCATCTTACGAGTACTGATTTAACACTTGCCTCAATTACTCGTTATCTCTCCCTCTTCCCAGTTTGTGGTTTAAAAATGTGTCTAGGTCAGTGTACGGATATTCTTGCCCTCTTAGCTTCATCTCTTGGAACACGGGGATAAGGCTGTTTTGTTCTGTCTTTTGGAAGCAATCTAGTTTATATTCTGTTTATATGTGGTCATAAAATCCCCTTTTTCTTCCTCTCTCCGCAGAAGTGTCTTGCATGTTCCTTGACCTAGTTAGAGCCCGGCACTGGGGCATGCTTTTGAATGTCATTTCCTTTCCAGTGCTGCTGTGTGTTTGTCCATTGTACGCTTCATGTTTGTGAGAAACAGGATGAAGTCTACATGTTTTTCTGCTTTTTGTTTTTAATAGGTCTGTACGCACTGCGGAGAGCTCTGGGGAAGAGAGCTCGCCCCTCAGACACCGAGGTGGCTGGGTCAGTGATGATTGCTTTCAATGACTTCCTGCAGGGGATGAAGGATGTCAGGCCCAGCGCCATGAGGGAGGTGGCAGTCGATGTGCCAAAAGTAAGTTGTTTTTTGCAGTACACTAGCGACATTGTTAGAGCCACATTAAGAGTCACAGCTACGCACTGAAACGTCTTACCAAAAGAGAGTTGGTTTGTAAAGCGGAAGTCTCAAGTTGCCAATAAATGCTGTGCATCATCTTTTTGTTTGCATATTTAATTAATTATAATTTTGAAAACCTATTTAGTTTGCAATGCTCTGGAAAGAACTGGTCGTGTAGGAGCACATTTCCTGATCTGCACTTTTATGTTCTGAGCACGTTAATGGAGTAAAAATCTTAAGATGTCTGCTTAAAGCTGATCTTGATTAGCTGTGTAAGCTGAAGCCTTCTGTAAAGCAGATACAAATTTAAATAGAAACCAAGATAGCATTTGTAATCAAAGTGTATTGAAACAAAGAGAGAGTGATTGCTGTGATTTGTGTAAAGCAGCTGAGTAACTCCACATGCAGTTCTTACTACTGTGACCTGCATGTCTTCAAAAATCACAAAACTTTAAGGGCAGAATCGGGCTCTGTAGATAAGTGGTCACTTACCCATCAGGTGCTGTCATTACACAAACAGTTCTCTTGGCAGTGCCAGATTCAGTCATGGTTACCACACTCAGCAACCCTTTCAGTTATGTTGTGCCTGCTACTGAATGACTGTAACACATAAATTGCTCTGTGGCTCTCATCTGGTTTAAGAAGATTCAGCAAAAGAAAACATTGTATTTCATCGTGCTACATTTTGACTCTGCTAGCAGTTGTGCCAATGTTTCTCATCAGCTCTCCAACCTGAAGAAAACATTTATGTCTTACTGCATGACTATGAGTCATCAGGGAATTAGGTTACACAGCTACAGACCCCTATTCCCATACTATAAGAATAGGAAATAAAATCTTTGAACAGGATGCTGCATGCAGCCAGGTCGGATATCACACTTGGCTTGTTAAGAGTCCACGCTGTGCAGTGGAGTGCTTGGTAGAAATGCCTGGGTTGGCCCCTGACAGCTTTTTCTGGAAATGGTGTAGAGGCATTAATATCCACGAGAGCTAATTAGTTCTTCTGAGAACCAGAACTGCTAATCCTCTTGTTGCTTACTGTGCTGCTGTCTCTTGGGCTCACGTCATTATCACTGCTTTGTGCCTTCTAGACATATCAACCCATTTGGAGTTACTGCTCAACAGCACAGTTAAGACATATGTTAGTCAAAGTCCTGCAGAAAGTATAGTCTGAATCCAGATCAACCTACTACTCAGGCTCTTGTAATCCATAAAACCATCCTTTTAGTGGCTTTCTCAGACGTCACGTTTTTGTTAAATGCCAGCTGAGTCACTGGAATACTACTAAAATTCATTCCTTTGTTGGAAGGAAGGCATGATCTAGTGCAGATTCCTTTTGTGCTTACTGATTTTTATGTTGATTTTTACAAAATAGTGAATATGCTGTGCAGATACAGGGTAAATTTCAGGTCACTTACTTGGTGCCTGTGGTGAGTTTAAAGTGGAAGCTAGGCTCCAAATATACCAGATGCATTCAGAAAGTGTGTTATCCTACATTAAGCTACTGAAGGAGATGCTTGAGTTGAATTTAACCACTATTTTGGACTGTGGAGCTACCTTTCTATCAACATAAGGTACCTGTCTGTGTTCTGAAGCTGTCTAAATATTGGGAAATACCTTGCACAGCTGTCTGTGAAAGTCAAAGTAGTGTGAATACAGAACTGTAACCTTCCCTCATTTCTGGAGTAAGTTATTCCTCTTTACTAATTGCCCTTATTTCAATCCAGTACTTTCTGTTCATGGACTTGCACCATTTAACTTTTCAGCACTTTACTAATTGGATGCTAACATGCTGTACTGTGGTACACTATATAACTGCTCTGCGGTAGTGCACACCTACAGGAGCTTCCTTACTCCTGTTTGTTGTATTTTTATCAAAATTTAGAAAATATGCTGAGGGGAGAAAAGCAAAGGAAAGCGTGAACAAGATAGGAATGTGGCTTTCTTCAAGAAACTTTTTTATTCTGGCTAATGTGTTCGTCGTATTTTGCAAAATTATCCTTCATTATATTCTTCTCATTTGTAAAACTGTAATAGTTTTTCTTTGCCTCCTCTCCTTTTCCTAGGAGCTATCCAGGTTGACAGTTAGTTGTACAGGTAATATTGTTAGAAAATCAGGTATTACATTCCTTCATGTTTCAAAGTCTGACATCAGTGCTGTTTGTCATCTACAAAATCCTTTCTTAAAATATCTTCAGACATAAAATAAATGATCTGTTGTGTTGTTGTTTGTTTGTTTGTTCGTTTATTTTCCAAATAGCAGACAGAAATCTGATGTTAATGATATCCTCTTGCTGTTAGTTGTAGATATACTTCTCACTTGGCAGCCCCCTTTGTGTGAATGGACCTTTTGGGCTATGCACTTGGTTATAAGTAAGTCCACTGATGCACATGCTGAATTAGTTGAGATTTTTGTGATTTTTAACTTTCTGTTTTTTTTCTAAGGTGGTTGTCATTTTCAACTGTTTTGAAGTAGCTATGTGCAAATTGAATGAGCAGAGTGCAGAATAGCTTATAAATAAAGCCACCATTAAAGGAATGTAGTTGAAATGCTTCTTCCCTCGTAGTCTAGAGACCATTTTCCATTTTTGTTTTTGGAGGTTGGTGTTACCCCTCATACTTACTTTATTATGAATTCCAAATTGTTTAAACTTTGCAGTGCTTCTTTGAAATCAGTGCTGCGTGCCTTGCTGGGACCAAAGCAAAAGACTTGTCTGCCTGCTTCTACATGGTTTCTCAGTTTCCATTTGTTCAGAACCTTTCTTGAACTTTGCTATGTGTCACAACCTTGTTAGAAGGTTTTTTGCAGCAGGAATTTAGGAGAAAGGGGATGCACGTTATAAATCAGGAAGTTAATACTTCAGCTGTTTGGAAAGTTGCACCGCAGTTGCAGTTCTTCCCTCTCCTGTGGGTTTTTCAGAAATATTTGGGAATGCTGTGGATTTCACTTGCCTGCCTCATTCCCTTTACTGTAATTGAACACTCAGATTTGTGTCTTTGCAGACAAAAGGTTCTGGAAGAGACATCCTTTGCACGCCTGCTTTATTTCTTTATTGCTGCTGTTCACAACCTCTGGGGAGTTGCTGTTCTGCATCATATTTGAGCTCTGTTGACCTGGGGAGAGCTAAAGATTATGGCAGTAATGAAATCTTGGTGCCTTTTGCACTGAAGCAGATCACTGTCTGTCTCTGTGGCTGTCTCCGGATGCGTAAGCTCAGCCCTAAGGCTAATCTTTTCCACCACTTCCACAGTGACAGAATATCACACTTAATTGCTGTGTTGCAAGGCTTTTCCCTTCAGTCCATGTGCAGGTTAGGATGTGCAGCTAGGCATTCTGCTGTGTGTACTGTAATGTGTGTTAATTGCTGTCAGGAAATTCCTGAGGATGGTTTGCAAAAGCAGTCCTCCAAATTCGGCTAAGTGTATACTAGCTTATGTGAATCTAAATGAATCCTTAGTTCTGAGTGTATTAGTGTTGGTAGACTGTGGTGGTTTTCCCCCACTTATCTCTCTCCTTTTGAAGAGTGAAAAAGAAATATATTTTGTGAAAGACTTATCCAGAATGTGAAGGTAGTGTGTTACTAGCTGCTTTTGCTTTTAACACCATTGCTGTTCGAATTCCACCTGATTAAATTGGCTGAAATTATGCCTGGTTAACTTCTTTGTTGGTTTGTTTGTTTTATAACTCGTACTTTGCAAGCTCACCTTTAGTGTCCCAGTTTGTATGTCCCGCCTCACTTCTCCCTTTCCATTTCCATTTTTAAAATGTAAGCAAAATCAGAGCAAGTCTTCAGATTTTCCAATATATAGAGAGGACTCACTTCACCATCTTTATAATTTCCATCACTGGTGATGATAGATATTATATAGCAGGTCCTAAAGCCATTTAAATAATGCAGTCTATGCAATAGTGTGTATTAAGAGGGGGTAAAAGAACATACATGTGTTTTCTCCCTGGCTTTTTCTGTGTGTGCAAGTACCACTAGTGGGTTTGCCTACTGTTGCTAAAAAGTTGCAGGAAATTCCTGATGGCTTAATCAGTTTTAAGGTTCTTCCTTTGTGTTTGCCAAAATCTCTTTGTCTTGCAAAGAGGACATTACAAAACCATACACTAGCAGGTGTGAGGGAGCACTCATACTGAAAATGGGAATCAGCCATGAAATTGAGCTAAAAGAGGTTGTTTCTGTATTTGGAAGTAAGGCGTTTGATACATGTCTTTACTTTCTTAAAACTTGTCTTTTTTATGGTAATTAAAAACCTGTACGTGTATTTCTGTCTCTTATTGTGACAGTTCAGGCAGGAATCTTTCAGTTCAGGAAGGAGTCTTTCAAACTTTTAGGCCTATAATGTGCCTAACTCAGTCATCTTGTCACTGTATCTGCTCCATCTGAATGAAAGAGGGAGAAGCTGAGTGAGAGACTACGTGTCTCTGGAAGTGTTCATCCCTCAGCTGGGTCACTCTGTGAAGGTCTCTCTCTTTAGACTTTATTGGGAGCCCAAGGTATGCAGGTGAAAGCTAGGTGGTATGAATTTGAGCTTCTCTTTCCCTCTTCACTTCTACACCATTGGGGAATTTCTCACTTTACTATTTTTACTGAATTAAGACAAATGCTTTCATTTCATAGAATCACAGAATCATTAAGGTTGGAAAAGATCACTAGCATCATCTAGTCCAACTGTAAAAACTAGAGACCTTTTTGTGCAGCCCATTTCCATGTATTTGCTGCCATTCTTTAACTTGATTGTGTGGCTGGTCTTGCTGGTATTATAGAACAGCAACAGAAAAGGATGTTTTGTTGTTTTTGTTGTTGTTGTTGTTTGTTTTTTGTTTTTACATTACTTCTTTGAACAAGTGCCTCAAGAAGGAGTATTGCCAGGCTGCAGAAGTTGGCTTTTGAGTTACCAGAACAGTCCTGCCACTTTGGTAATGCTCCCACTAAAATCCTTTCCTCCTGCTGCTTAGTTACTCTGCTGGGTCTTATTCAGTCTTCTCTTTGCTCTGACCTTCTGAGCTGGTATCAGGGAAATAAGGATGAGCCAGGAGTGATAACAGAGAAAGGTGATCCATTGCCTTTGGTGATATTCTGCTTGTGTTTCAAGTTTAGCTTGAAATTGAATGGTGATTTATGCCTAGTAAATTTTTTGAAGAGCGTTTTAAGACAGAAGATCATTTGATTTTGGTGTGTCTTGATGTGTTTAATATTTAAGGTGGATGGGAATGGATGGTGACAGAACAAGAATGAGTGGAGAATGTGGGTAAAATTCTCAGGCTTGTGTTGAGCTGGAGATGTGTAGCATGTTTTAGATCTGTCTGCTGTTTTGGGAAGCAATTATTTGTTATCTATGACAAGCCTGTCTTGTGTATTTAACAAAGCAAATTTGACTACTAGTTGAGTTTGAATAATATTCTTTTATTTTCATAGATATTTGTTTGTTTATTTATCAGTTTCTAGTCAAGACTGTAGTGCTTCTGTCAGAGATAGGAGTGATGGTGCTGGCAACTGGACAAACCCTGCTCAAAAGTTGAGCTTACTGAAGTCAAACACCTAGGACCAGAGCAACACTAAGTAAAACCTTCTTGGTCTCATGCAGTCTTCATGTAAATACTCAAGTAAATACTCAAGAAAGACACCAAATTTAGAATTTCTGCATCAGTGGAGTGAAAAAGAGAGCTGAGTTGTGATTCATGATAACAGAAAGTGTTATTGCCTAGATGGTCATGCTGTCATTTTTTAATTTTTATAATAATAAAATTGCTCTGTTTTGCAGGTATCTTGGTCAGACATAGGAGGACTAGAAGATGTCAAGATGAAATTGAAGCAGGCAGTTGAATGGCCTCTCAAGCATCCTGACTCCTTCATCCGAATGGGGATTCAGCCTCCAAAAGGTGTGCTGCTTTACGGACCTCCTGGATGCTCAAAAACAATGATAGCGAAAGCTTTGGCTCATGAAAGTGGCCTCAACTTCTTGGCAGTGAAGGTAGGCCATTCATTCTTAGAGTTTCTTAACTCTCAGATAACAATTTATCAATTTCCAGTGGTAAAATCCAGTGGCTCTTTGCATTTCTTAGCATGTGTATTGTCTTGTGAAGAGGTCTGCTGCTTCCTTAGATGCTTGTGCCTCTTTTTCTCTCTCTCTTTCTCAAAGCATAGAGATAAGGTTGAGTAGCACTTAAATGCTATTTTTATTCTAGTGAAAAGTCTTAATTATTAGCATTATTTTATTGTAAAAGTTTTTTCATGGAAACAATGAAATTCTTCAACAATGCAAATCTGGACAGTGGGTAGCTATTCTTACTGTAATATTTACATGCTTGCTTAGAGATATTATTGACTCATCTCTTATGCTCATTCTTATTCCTCAGTAAAATCACTTTCTTTGTCATACTACCCCTGTTTTGTTACAGGTTTCTCATGCCCAGTTAGTGTTATTTTCAGGGAAAGTGATTCTATTTCATCATGACTTTGAAAGTTTGCAAAATTTGTTATATCTGGAGTGCTCTTGAATCAGTGGGATGTTCTCTCAGCATTAAGAAGCACGGAGAAATTGCCTGTGAAACAGAGTAATTGATTACTGCGGGTTGTATGGAAAATGCATGAATGGAAGTTATTAAATAATAATATGGAGCTTCAATGCATAGAAAGGAAAAAAGATAGAGTGATTCCACATGGAGTAGTCTTGCAGCTGTGTAAGAATGTTAATGAAGTGCAAGGAAAAACATTTGTTTAAGTATTTTTCTTTTAAAAGTATCTCTTAACAGTATGATCACATATTCTTCTCTGTTGAGCATCCCTTCACTCACAGAATGTTTGGCATTGCTAGCCCCTGCAGAGCTCCCTCCTGTGCCTGACCTTTGAGCTACACTGCCAGCAGAGCTCTGGAGGCAGAAGTGGTTGCACTGATCCTGCAGCCCTCTGCTGCATGTGCCTCCTGCTGCTGCAAATAGGCCTCTGGGTCTCGGTCACACCATCAAGAAGGGTCTCAGAAACCTCAGCCCTTAAGAAATGCTGGCTTTCCTGCCTTCCATGAAGACAAAGTTGGTCTTTGTACTCCAGAGTTACTGGTAAACAAGGTAACCTTTTCTTCCTGTGCTTCTTAAGAAAACATTCTTTCATTGTTTTGCCCAATGCACTGATGCCTGAAAGGAAGGGAAATAAAAGTTTCAATTTGGAAAAACAAAAAACAAATAACAACCCCTTCTCCCCCCAAACAATTAAAAATGAATGTTGATGTCACCTGTTCATTCATCAGTCTTACTGCATCACTGAAATGCCTGCTGGAGCTGTATCATCATAAAGAATGGCTTGGGCTGAGTGTGAGGCGTGTTAAGGTGCACCAACATGAAATGCTTTTGATACAGCAATGCGGCCTTTCTTCAGGGTGTAATTCTAAGGGTGTAACCCCCACAGCTGCAGCAGAAGGGGCTACCTTGGGGAAAAGCCTTTTATTCTCTCTTGACTTAATCCCTTGGCCTGGAAGTGATCAAATATTCAATGTACAGATGTTTTAAGAGGCACATCACTGGAGTGTGTCCAGCCTTGGATAGCTTGTCTCCAGGAAGGGAATGTAGCCCACTTTCCCTAACTTTATGTTTGCTTCCTGGACAGAAAAGGCAACATCCATCATGTACTAAATGTGTTAAACATCACTGTCTGTAGCACTTCTTAAAGCACAACAGGCTTGAATTCATTTCCACTGATTGTGTTCCTGCAATAAATCCAGAGTAGATGAATACAATTTTATTTTATTTTTTATTTAATTTTTCTTGTAATTCTGACAGTTTTCCCTTTGTTACGTCTCACATCTTTGTTGCTGTAACTGATATCAGCATTTTTGAAATGGAAGAGAGTTTTGTGATAATTTACTTTTCAGATCTGTTTTTCTTCCTTGGTTCTGCTCCAAATGAGTGACCTTGATGAAAAGTGTCTGCGGTACAGCCGGTAGGATACGTGTGCTCCTGCAGCATAGTTCAGAGGGTTAAGGTTCTTGGGCCCAGGAACGGACCGTGGGCAGGAGGCATTGTTCTGGCGATGCAAGAGGCCGAGGCAGGGTGCCACCTCTCTTCCCCGTGCCTGAAACCTGACAGGGAACTGGATAGGTTATGTGTGTCTCTTAGTTGGACCTGTGGTTTTTGGAAGATGGCCCTACCACATTCAAGGCAAGCGGGTGCGGTGAGTCCATCTCTTTCCAGAAGTGAGCAACTGGAGTGCAGCAGGTATCTCCTGGTCCAGGAGGACTCCGTGCTATTGTCCAGATGTGTATGTGCAGTGTCTCTCTGATTTGGCTAGCTGCCTCTGTTAGGTTAAGTACTTACTCTGGGCTGTGTGTCATCTCCTAAAACATGATGTTTCCGAATGTCTTTGGAGTGACTGGTTGTTACAGTGCGTTATTAGACGTGATCACATGGCATGGCCTTGAGTGCACGTCTGACTTGTTTCTAACATGGTCTGGAAGCTAGGCAGTCTAGATGTAATTTCTGGGCAGAGGAGCTGAAGAAAATAATGTGATAACAGATGTTTGACGTTACATCCTGTTCTCTCCTGAAATCTATTGTGAAGTTTGAATGGTTAGTATTACAATGAACGTGCCCTTTTGTAAACACGTTCTTTGATACTTTTCCAAAACTTTTTATAGCTGTATTTTCATCAAGATGGGTGACCTTTCGCTTTTCCAGAGAAAAGCGGTTGCTTTGCTTGTTTGTTTTTACAATTCCTAAGGGGAACTGTTTATTTTTATTCCTTCACTGACTGTCTTTCTTTGTCTTGCATACAATATATCAGCTAAATTTACTCCGGAGGAGGTTTTCAACTGTTTCCCAGGGAATGACTCTTTCTGTTACTTCCTATCACCCCTCTTCTAAATCTCTTATAGCATTGAGGCTTCCCAGGGTTTTAGTGTTCATCTTGATACATTTTTTTCCTCAAAACCTCTTACCAAAAGACCGCTGAATTCTGCTCAACTTCCAGGAATGCTGTCAGTGTTTTGTAATCATGAATATACGCAGGTAGATGACTGGGTGAAGGAGTGAATTAGGATGATTTTTTCATTCTTGAGTGATTGAACATCAGTCTTGGTTTTATCAAAACTTTCTGATCAGGTTGAATTCTTACTTCTGTCAGTCTTCTATGTGTCTTCTTCGTGCTCCTCTTGCACGGTCCCCAAAGCTTCTATTTTTTCTCAGAGATGTATTTTATGCATTTCTTCTACCAATGGGAAAATTTTATGCAGATATTACACCTATAAACCTTATTAGGATGGGGGATGTGATTTTCAACAATCTGGTGAATATTACTTTTCTTTGTGGGCTTTCCCTTCGTTTTCTGGGAAGCACCTTGTAGAAAAACTATGTTTTAATCTCTCTGTTGTTATGGTATCTATGTAATTAACTTTGCTACCAAGAAAACAGTTGTGCTTTTTGGTTTTTGCCTATTACAAAATGAACACTGACGTTTCCTCTTATATTGTAAAGCTGATAGGCTCCACCTGCAGCACCTGGTGGTCCCAAAAGGGCCACAGGGATTGGGAAATCCTTTTGCCTCTTGAGTTGTCCATGAGCCCAGGATGCAGTGTACCCAGAGGGGGTGCATATTGTTGATGGCATCATGCACTACTCAGCTGGCTAAAATCAGAGAAAGACTCCCTGCTGAATTCAGAAGGCTTTGCTCTGTGTTGTATCATCAAGGGGTTCTGAGTGCTGCTTCTGTGCAACATGCAGATTACTTGAGTTTACTAAATCAATACCAAGAACTTCTGTGTGCTTGTAATGGTTTTAGAAGCATCATTTTTCCTCTTGCTGCTCAGTGCTTCTTAATATATTTTTTCTTTAAAATCAAAATTAAAGTGAAAACTCACATAGTGATACTGCAAAAAACAAAACAAAACAAAAACCCAACAGCCTAGCCTTTCAGAATACTTAGATTTCCAAAAGTTAAACCCCTTAGAATTCAGCTCTCTGAGTGAGACACAATGATCCTTGTAAATCTCTCGAAACATGGAAACAATATTTAAAACCAAAAACAACAACCAAAAAACCTGTGATGGTAAGTAATTAATGCCAGGCAAATCAGTGGTGCAGGCAACACGTATTACATTGCTCTAAAATATTAATTTTGTTGGTTAGGAGCTCCAATTGTGCTAGAGGAGAAAACAAATAGAAGGTTAGAAAAGATATTCCCAACATACACTTTTTTTTCTCCTGTTACTTAAGAGCTTGGGCTGAAGGCATTTTTTTCTCTTTTCTCAATTAGCAGTAATTACAAAAATATACAGTGTTCTCAGAGGTCTGATTTCACCTTGGCTTGATTTAACTTCCTGTATTGCCCTGCAGATGCTTTTGTACCATTCCCTGTGCTTGACATGTGCTTAAGTTTAGTTTGTCGTCTGGGTCAATTACGTCAAAATATTTTCCAATTGAAGTTTCCTCTGCTTTTCCCTTCAGCTCTTGGCTGGGGAAGTTCAAACAGATTAATGAGGCTTGGAAAGGCTGAGTGCTGTGCTTTGTGAAGAACTGTCATTGAATTTGGGAAGATAGTTTGCCTTCTGACAGGGATTTCTGTGAGCCAGACGATGAAAAAAGCTGGGTGGCTGTGACTAGCTGAGCAACACATTTAAAAACGAAGAAGCCTTGTGGTTTTATGGGAAACTCTGGCAAACATTTGATAAAGCTTACAAAAGATTTGTAGTAACGCATTTACAGTACCATGCCAGTTAATTATCCGATAATGAAACAAAGTGTATTAAGAAGATTTTCTGATGTTTAACATTTTCCACAAAGAAAAGCAATTTGAGGTACATTAATGAAGACTTCTGATCCTCAGGCTGTCTGCATGTTTTACCCAACAAAAAGTAAGACAGTCATCCATTCTTACCATAAGCTTTCCAACAGAGAATGTGCAGACAGAAAATGATTCAGAGATTATCTTCTGTCTCTGTTTCTTTCCACTTTTTCTATTAGAACCGTAATTGCAAGGGCTGTAGTTCACAGTGTGTTGCCAGCCTGCTCCCTGAGATATTTTGGAGCCTACAGAAACCTGTCCAATGTGAAATTTTTAAGACACTGCACCGTAAATCTTGCCAACATGTTTTTTCTAGTGTCCTTTGGTATGCTGGGCAGGGGAAGAGGAAGTGTTTCGCATGGCGAGCGTGCTGAGCCTGGGGCTTGTGGGCTGCTTAGAATCAGAGTGATGCAGGTTAAGTCATCGAACAGCACTGAAGAGAAGAAGCAGGCTTTATTCTTATCAAGCAAATAAACTCTGTTTTTTATAAGCAAATGTTTTTCTGTGGTGCTGCTTAACATGCAAAGTAACTGATTTCTGAGTTCCTTCCAAATCAGTCAGTTAGTGTTGTGATAGCAGGTTGCTCACTTACATCATCATGAAGCTGGGGAGCTGGAAACAAAACCAGCCAGAATATTGAATCTGACTCCATGAAAGCTGTACTGGTGGTGGCTGGGATCAAGCCATGCTCCTCAGAGCTGGCTGTTCATGTTGCTCCAGCAGCCTGGTGAGAAGTCAGCACATCAGAGCTAGGTGGATCACATCTGCAGGTTGATGTCTGCCTCTCCAGATCAGTTACTGTAAATACCTAACTCAGGTGCCAGTGTCTGAATGCAGGCAAGTGAGCTTGGTCTGAGTGACAGAACTGCTAAGAATTGACATGAAGTTTTTTTTTCTTTTGTGCTTCACAGTTTCTAGACACTTCATTTGAAATGAAATATGTGACTGATGTTTTCATGTCTGTTGAACTGTTTCTACTTTGGACATGACAAAGAAGAGACTGCATTAAATATTATGGAGTAATAATGTGTAGGAGGTGATAGAAATTCTCTAATTCTTAGGATTTTTTAAAAAAATAGAAATTGCACTCCATAGTTAACACGTTTTAATGTGTGTTAGAGCCCCAAACCTTCATGTGTTGTTATGGTGGAAATATTGTAAGAGAGGAGAAAACAAACCTGTGTTGCTGAAGAAATCTAGAGCCACGTCTGTCTGGCTCAACAAGCATAAGTACATAACTTAGTTGATTGTCAAAACAGTTATATATAAAATGTACTTTATATATATATAAAGAGACAAAAAGTGAGGATTTCGTATTAGTTGAAAGTCATTGCCATAGTATTTTCAGGTGGTAAAAAAAGATGTCCCCAGATAAATTCAAGCACTGGTTAGAAAAATTACCCATACTGTTTACCTTCAAGGATACCAGATGTTGCTCTTGCTGTTTAAAACATTGTGAACTTCTGTCATAACAAAGTGCACATAAGCTTATCTTGTGTTGTAGCCTGTACACAGAGGTTTTATCTTTTGTGCAGTTAATCTTTCAAGTTTATTCTGATAGTATTTAAAATGCATTTTCCTTTTCTTGTTATTGGAAAAAAAACAACAACAAAACAAGACCATTACCAACATAAGAGAAAAATCCACACCCAATCCAGACATAAACAAATGGGAGGTTTCATGACAGAAGGGTCATGCATCTTATAAATCAGGATGGGATCGCCTTTCAACCGTGCATGTATGGAAACTCTCTGCTTTGAGGCTGAATAAATAAAAACCCAGCAGTATGCAGTGTGCCTGAATTGGCAAATTTTGTACTATTGCTCTGGATCATAGCTCACAAGTTGTATGATTGTAAGCACAGCTATGCTACAGTGGCTTCTGCCAACTTCCTTCTCCAAATGTTTTTCTGGTTTTGGAGGCACTGTGCAAATTACCAGAAGGAACAGGTTTTATTTCTTCATGTTCTTTCATATGGAGGATTTTGTGTTGCAGAAGAGAACAGAGCTACGCATCATTAAACTGTACCTCTTGATCCTAAGCCTCTCCATTAGTATATCAACAACTTTTAATGGAATCAGAGTGACCATCTCCAGGCCAAATATGATGTTTCACCAACTGTCAATTTGCTGACTGAAGAAGGTCACGTCATCTGATTTTTGAAGCATTAGAAAAACATTGAAAAATAATTAAAAAATATATTCCTGGTATTTCTTGTATGGTTTCCAACTGCTAAGGAAGCTTCTCTGAAAAGTGAAGGTGAGCCTTCAGAAAATTTGAATCAGTGCTCAGCTGGCAGCCAGTGACTTGATGGCTGCTTGGCATACGGTCAGATCCTTTGGAAGAATGGCTCTCCGTCCCTGCTAGAGGACAGCACAAGCAGCAAGGAAGAAGTTCAGCTCAGGTTGGACTGAAGCTAGCCCAATTTGATTTCTACGTCCAACTTCTACATCTAGCTTCTTTGAACGTTTCTAGTTTTGTGTTGTGGTTTTAAGTGTTTGCATTAGATGAACCGTACACCAATTCTTCTTTCTCTTTCTCTTAATTTGGAGTCTTTTCCTTTTATTACCATGTATAATAACAGTTCCAAGCTGCTTCTAATAAACTGTGTGGTTCTGAATGGCAGTTTTGGTATTGTTGATGAGAGTGGTGAACTCTGGAGACCTTCTTCTTCAAATCAGCTTTCATGAAATTCTCCTTGAGGAGGCACAGGTCATTAATACATAGTGGTCATTCACCCTGAGTTGCTGCTTAATAAAGAGAGAAATGGAGAAAAGTTTCAAGCCAAAGCTTACAGCAAAACCATGCATTCAAATAATTCTCTTTGGAAACATTTTAAACAGCATTTATTGCTTTGATGTTACCTTGATCATATACTTTAATGCTTAATTAAAAATAAAACTCCAAGCATCTGAAATTATATTTTATATTAAAGCTCAAAGGGAGTAGTTTTTAGTTTTTGCTCAGACAAAAGAAATGTCAGACTGCTTGATGTTGTTTGTCGTACTAGAGGAGTGCACCATTGGCACTGATGTGGATGACATTGTCTTCCATGAGAATGTTGATACAGATCAAAATTGCTTTTAAGAATAAGGGCGCAAGAAAAACATTTCAAGGAAAAGCAAGTAATAGAAATCTGTACTTCTGGGCAGAGGGTTCTCAGTGCATCAGCTGGGTTTGAAAGAAAGCTAGACAGAAGGCAAAAGCTGCTCTCCTGTTACTTAAGGATTTGTTAGGCCTGCACTATCAGATTCCTCATCTGCAATGAACATGATGAATGGCAAAGGCCCAGGGCAGCTGGATGCTGTCTGTGTGAGCTATGATCCACTTCTGCATAACTGGCTGCACGTCCTTGTCTTTGGGGTCCACAGTGGAAATAGCTTCATAATTCTCTCACCTTATTTTTTCAATCTTCTTTCCTCACTTATGTGTCTGAATGGTTCTGTTTCTCTGCAGGTATCTGACAGATTCAAATTCCGAATGTAGAAAGCCTGCAGGTGACACTTCAACATTAGTTGTTTTAGGGGGGAAGGCTGAAGGATGGACACAGTGCGAGCTGTATCGTTCTAGTTTTTTTCTGGCAAGATGAGCAGTATTCTTCTTCAGCCCTTAAACAGTTTGACTTTATCCACATGGTACACTATGGCTGGCTGCTGCTCTATCCTACCTGGTCCCATGGATTAATAGACAACACTAAAAAATAAAAGAAAACAGAAAACTATGACATAGCCAGTACGCTTTGCTGACGCCAGATAACTTGTGCTTTTCTTATTAAAGTATACATTATTCACAGACATTTGCAAAGGTACTTTCCAGTGGTGCCACTGTCAGTGCACTGATTTTATCCTAAGTTTTACTGAAATGCTGCAAATAGCTGAGGAGATGGGGAGACTGCGTAAAAACAGTTTGTGCTGTGTTTTTGGGGAAATTAATCTTTTTTTTCTGCTGGTCTGTGTACAAAGTCCAGACAGCCCCACTGAAGTAGGGTTTGCACCAGAAGCTCTGTCACTGTCAGTGTGTAAGCATGCATATGCCACCCATTTTAATTCTAGCATAGCTTGTTTAAAACTGCCTTACTGCTCCGAGCAGAGCCTTGCCTGAAGGGACTCACTGCACTGAAGCACAGGAAGACTGTGCAGCTTTCCAGCTGTGAAGAAGGATGTCATTGCTGCTGGTGAAATTATGAGGGCACCTGTTCCCTGGAAAACAGCCTGAAGCCACTGGCTCATTTTGTTCAGGGCAGTGGATAATCACGCTGGTCATGGCTGTAGGTCAGTGTTGATGCAAACCAGGCTGAAGTCAATGAGTCATTACCAATCCCATGAGAATCTTAGTCCCATTAAGAAGCATTATTTTAGCAGCCTATCCTACAGGATACAGCAAAACAGAAAATGCTCTGAGAATTCTCCATTGTTTTGCTTTTTGTAATTGTCAGTACTGGCTCAAGACTTGAACGTTGACCCTGTGGTCTCCGTTCTGTTCCTGGTGGACAGGACTGTGAGTATAGACAGGCACGGCAGCAGCTGGCACTAATAATCGTGCTTAGCAGTCTCAGCAGAGAGAAGGAATGCAGAGAGAAGTGAACACACTAAACAGCTTTCTCACTAGGGATAGAGCCCTCGTAGATAGATAGGTTTCAGGTGTGCTGCTGTGGTAGCTGCTTCTTTCTGGACCTGCAAGCTGTCAGATTCAAAAAGTTCTGCTTGATGTGGGTTTAGGTCGTTGTTTTGGTGTTTAGCTAGATAAGAAGCATGTTGGGTGTATGTGTAAATGCTTTCCTGCAATTCATCTTTTTCAATTGACTTGCAGGCACCTTGTTGCTGCTATTGATCCATAAACTTCTAAGAACTGATGTGTTTAGTTTTTTGGTTAATGTTGTTTCACATAAGAGTAGTAGGTAAGCGTTACAGTAAGAGGACTAACCTACAAGTAGTTACTTGCTATAACAAAAGGAAGAATACTTGGTATGGGTAGAAGGTAAGTCTGAAAATGCACAAACAAGACCTTTGTAAGTGGCAAAATATCAAAATTCCTTGTAGGGCCACCAGTATCACAGCACTGGCAGCTTGTGACAGTCATTTGAGATGTTAACATATTTTTAAAATGGTTATTTTTTTTGATTTTGTAGGGACCTGAACTGATGAATAAATATGTTGGTGAGTCGGAACGAGCAGTGAGAGAGGTGAGAAAGCACAAGCTGTCTTGGCATTCAAATCCTTCTGTGCTTATAAGGTTACCTTTAAATTTTCCAAAAAATCTTTTGGTTTAAGTTTAAAAACAAAACAACGCAGAAGGGATCTGTGTGTTTTACGTCCTCCTGCAACCTCATGATGCACGTCCAATTTAGTCTCCATTAGCAACTTTCACTACAAGTCTATATCACACAGAATCATGAATACCCACTGAAAGGTGTGTTTTTAAAAAAATGTCTCTTATGTGTCTTATGGCTCTTCTGCGATGCTCTGTAGCTTTTGAGGTATACAGTGGTGATAGCATTGTGTAAGAAATGTCAGTCCCTTAAAACTGAGTGCGCCGTTGTTGTTTTTTTTAGATCTTTAGGAAAGCCAGAATGGTGTCTCCTTCGATTCTTTTCTTTGATGAAATAGATGCCTTGGCAGTTGAAAGGGGAAAGTAAGTAAATTCTGTTATAAAAATCACAGATGTTATTTTCTGATAAATTACTTTTATGTCGTGCAATCAGAAGTGTATTATTTTTCTAGAATTATTTTATTAAATATATTTCCACATGCAAAAGAGTAGTGATATCAAGCATATTTAAGTTGGTACAAACAGGTAAGTTGGTGAAGTTCCTTCTTTCTCATGTCACGAGCAAGAAGAATTCTGCTGGTTCTCATTCTCTTGGGCTCTTTACTGTGGTTTTAACCTGCAGTTATTTTCAGTAACTAACTCCTTTCTTTTCCCAAGGTTGTTGCGCTGTCCTAATATAATGTTTCCATCAAGGAAGGGAGATGATTTTATGTTATATAACTTGGAATTTCTACAGAGATTACCCGTATGCTAAAATTTAAACTTGCATTTAAGCTTTTTGCCAAGGGAAAAATTTCATGAAATAGTTCTGGGAATTTTGACCTTAAAAAGGGATTCTTGTGCAAACAGCTAACAATCTTACTAAAATACCCTTCCTGTTGTTGATTATGGGAGGTGTTTAACTTTTGTCTGAAGGAGGATTATAGGTGGTTTTGTTTGCTACAGTGGCATTTAAGATTTGGCTGGCTATGGGAGGAGTTGTTCTTGGGAGTATCTTTCCATAAAATACTTCTAGTAAATGAGTAAATGACTTTGTGTTGTTTTCCTGTTTTGTTAGATTTGTCTGAAGAATTAATGAAAAGTAGGCATGTAGGAAGTATTTCTCTAGTTCAAAGGCATGTCAGATTTCCATTCTGTTTTTGGAAAAGAAGCTACCTCAGCATCCATTCAGATTCCTCTGTATTGTAAGGGGGCTGTTAGTATCTGCAGAAGAGGGTAAAGTACATCAGTCCTTTTGATATTTCAGCAACTGAAACTGTTTACATAATAGGAGATGACATCCAGAGTAGCACGGAGCTGCCCTGTGAAACTGGTAACAAATGAACGTATGAACAAATGCAACTGTAAAAGCTGATATGTCTTCACAGCATCCTTCTCATAATACAGTGTATGCAACTGTGAAATCTGTAAACTTCCTAGAAATGCCTGCCAACCTGTGGCATGCACTGAAACACCTGCCTGCTTATCGCAATAGAGAAGCTGCAGAAATGTGTGCTGGAATCAAGCCAATAGGAAGAAAAAAATTTCCCCTTGCTGAAATGTTAATGTGTTTAGCTTTCAGAAACACTGCTTCATCAAGATAAAACTGTTTGGAAGAATAAGACGCAGTACATTTTAATCAGCCTTTTCACCCCATGCCCTGAAGGCATTGAGTTTGTTTATTTGTTTTATTCTTTTAGGGGATAAATAACCTAATTTTACCTTACCTGGAACTGTCTGTGGGGGGTAGTAGGCCTGGCACAGCTTGCTGAAGAATGTGGTATGACCTGCTGCAGTCATGTTGTGCTGGAGACATCTGGTTTTGGAGCTTTAAAAAGAACAGGGTGGGACACACAAATATTTCATTGTCAAATCTGAACCAGATGGGAGGTAAAATATGTAGCAGAGTTCTCATAAAATTCATCTGAAATTAAATGGTGTAGGAAACCAGACAAGGCACTTATTAGAAATGACCTTTTTTTACAGGCTGACTTCGCACAGTAGGAATTTGCAAATGCATTAGAGATGCTAACGATTTGTGGCCTCTGGAGATCCATTTCCTGTACTGTTAACTAGCCATAGTGAAGTTTTCAAGGAAACACCTGTTTATATTGTCTCCCTATTCCCTCTGTTGGTTGAATTGGTTTTCTCTGTCTTGCCAGTGAAAAACTCTCTGTGGTACAACTTTGGAAAAGATTTTCTTCTTAGCTTAAATCTTAGGATTTTGTGGGCTGTGGGGTTTGTGCATCTCAAAGCTTGCTGGGCAGGTACCCGTTCCTGGTCCTCACATGATGTGTCAAGAGATAACAGTTCGTGCTTCTCTGGAAGTTGCGGGAGCACTTTTGTAGTTCAGATCTAATATACAGATGTGAAGTAACATTAATTGCTTAATGCTCTTCAGAGCACTGCCAAATATTTATTAACCCATTAGTACTTGTTTAAATTTGACTAAAACGTGTGCGTTTGAAATACATAAATGTTTAGCTCCCAACTCTCTGTAGAGGTCGCTAAACAATCCCTTCTCATCAGCAAGCACATACAGATTAATAGACTTGGTAATTGATTGTAGCCAGTTATAGCAGGTAGATCAACAGAACTAGAGAATCTTCCTGTTTGCACCACTCTGTGGACCATCTGACACCACACAAGCCATGGCAAACGTTGTAGCTGAATTCAGGTCTGCCACAGTGTTTTATTTATTTTACTAGTCCCAAGCCAAAATTCTGTAATTGTAATGCCCTTTCTGGTGTATCTAAGCCCTCTTGGAAGACTTTTCACTCTGATTTATGTTGAGGCATTCAAGGAAGCTTAGAGAGAAATAAAAATTAAACAAAAACAAGGCAAGAATAGGGTTTGGATGGACTGACAAGGAAAAAGGGAAGAATGTACTAAAACTGATTCTAAAGAATAAATGATAAATCTAGAAATGAAAAGATGGAGGGGAAATCAGGTACACGGTAAGTCCAGAGTAGGATAGATGATCACATTAAGACAGGAGAAACCTCTGAAAACCAGGAAGACTTTTGATAGTGAATTCTCCTTTATTGTGGGTTGGTACTGTGGAAGAAGCTCATGCAACCTACGACTTGGCATATTTCAAATGAGCTGTGTGATGCACAAAATCTTCTCTGTCGTCCTATAGCTGTAATTAATGATAGATTGATGATTTTTTTTTTTTCTTTGCTTTTGCAAGTTGATGTTAGAACACTGTGTAGGAGAGACTGTGCTAAAGGGAGCCCCGCAGGACTGGTCCAGATACGGCAGCACATGGAGAGGAATGTTTGCCTCTCAGTAATCCCTTCCCTGCTCAGAGCTCAAGTCTCTTTAACAAATTGCACAGCTGCGAAGAATTATGGGTATTTGTTATTCCTTGGTATCCTGACTATGTAAAACCTAATTCTTCTGGCCATTAGAGGTTGCCAAGAGGGAAATGGCTTGGTAATTAGACTTGAAAGTGATGAATGAACATGGCTCTGTGTAAATGCAGCACAGACAGTCTGTTTGCTGAACTTAAGAAATCTATGTGCTTTGGAAATGGGACATTGTTTATATAAGTAGGATTTTTAGGATTTTTGGGCAATGGACATATTTGTTCCTTTTCTTGTTTTTCAGAAGCAAAGCATTTTCCCCTTTAACTGCAGATCTTTGTAATGTAAGATAGGAAATGTAGGCTGATGGGAAAGACTGTTAAATACCATTTTCAAAGCAGGGGAAAAAAAAAAAAAGAAATTGAGGAACAAAGATAAGTACCTTGCATTAGTCAGTGCCAGTACAAGTGAGTAGATGAACAGTAGTATTTCGGAGCAAAAGTAGAAGTGATGAAGTGAAGAGGCTTTGGTACAAATCCCCTACAGGTTGATGATGCTCTTCTGTGGAGCTATGCTATCCTGAGTGTTGGGCCCCCGATAACTACATTCTGAAGCCACAAAATAACTGACTCAAAATGTCTGGAAGTTGTGCTGTTTCCACTGCAGCCTGGACTTCCAGGGCACATGAAGCTATGAAGAATCGTGGCTTCTCTTCTGTACACCTGTGCTTTTAACAGGGATAATGATCAGTCTTTTTAAATTAAGCTGTCTGTCTTTTTGGGGTATTACAGCACATGCTTACACTGTACACTCAAAGATACAGTCATATGCTTATATCTATGCAAATTCCTGGTGTCATTGGCAGCCTCTGTTATGGGAGAGGTGAAATCTGTGAGCTGGGACAAAGCAAAGCAGCGTTAGGTAGGATGGAAAACTGCAGTGCACATGGTAAGTCACCAGCAGAAGAGCTGTAGGTATTGTCACCCTACTGTTACGTATTATGTATGGCCAAATTATGTGAAGAAACAATTTTCCTGTGCCATACTTGAGTTGATGCTAGTAGATGACTAAGCAACTTGGCTATTTTGACTTACGTTGACACTCATTGTCCCTGAATCAGAGAACATCAGCTGAATTTGGATTTGATGGAGAACTGAGGCATTCAAAATGTCTGTGGTTGTGGTCTGAGATCTTTAATGTCTTTGCCATTCAAATGAAAATATTGTGTGGGGGTAAAAAAGCCACGTGGCTGATACCAGCTGTCTACTTTAGGCCTAAAAGAAATGGTGGAGAAGCAAAAGTTTTGAAATAACTGAATCACACAGTAAAACTTGTAATTTGCTTTGAAATAGCAATTTTAACAAATAACATTGCCCATATGCTGTATACATGAGAAATTTTTGCAATCTCTTTATTTTTGAAAAGCGAAAAAGAACCAAAACTCCTTCTTGTCCAGCAAAAATCCTTTATCACGATGTGTTTTAAATCTGTGTTTCTTCCTTTGTGAAAACAACAACAAAGTTTAATTTTGCCAGTCTTTACCATAATTTTACACTTTAAGCTTTGTGCCCATTTCGAGTCAGTAAGCCTTTCACTGGCATCAGTGGAAGCAGGACTGAATTTGTAAACTGTTTTTTTGCCATCATTCAAATGCATGGATAAATTTACAGGATTTAGAGAAACCTATGAAGTCCATGAAGTAGGTAAGCCTGTTCTGTAGTGCAGAAGAGTGCTGTAGCAAGGCTGATTCTGCAGCAAGGTGCTTCAGCCAAAGACATGCATCTGAGCTGTTGTCTGAATTCCTGCCTGAGGCCTAGATGAAACATGCTTGGTTTAGAGGAATCAGAAGCAGGCACAAGTGATGGCCACTTTGCTTTCTGGTATGATGTTGATTATAGGAAAAGATCAGCTTACCCATGCTAAATGGGCCCAAGCAGGCTGCAACTGCCAGCAGGATTAAGACTGTAATCATTTAATACTTCTTTTTTTTTTTTAAAGATAAATTAAAAATAGTATTAAAAAAAAAAAGAAATAAAAGGAGAACTAGTTGTCATCAAAACATATAATTGAAACTTA